ACATTGATGTTTTCCATACATCAATTGTTTTTTAAACACCTAACACTACAGCAAATTTTATAATGGATTCCTACTTAATAATTTCGAGGATCAAACGAGCACCTTACTAATTTAATGAAAACAATATATGCACTCTTTATTTGTTTTCCCTGAGGTACTTTGCATTTTTAAAGATTTTTACGGCTTGATGCTTGGCTAGTATCACTTATTTGACAGTTGACGCTGATTTTTCACCCATGGGGGAAAATGTTGTGATGCATACTATTACACCATTACTATATGGTCATTTCATAGCACAAAAGTGTTCTATCCCAGCATGTCCACTGAAAATTGTAATTTAATTGTTTGATTATCATTAGTATTGAGAAGGGAAACCTGTACGTCAGAGAAGCAACAATATTTTGAAGATATGTCATGTTTTCCAACACACATTGTTACAGTGCAATAGACCCTTACGTGCTCAAAAAACTTCGAGAGGTCAGAGAAGGCGTGTGCCCAGCTATTGGTCGAATTATTAGTATAATAATCATCATTAAAGCCTCTCAAAATTCCACTGCTGAACATAGGTCTCCCTCATATGGGTAATATTTGACATAGTTGCTTCGCTTGGCAGATGGGGATCCGGATGGATGTATGAATACTAATATTTTTTGTTTTACACTAATTACTGATTTTCTTCTTATATTATGTATTTTCATTGTTATTAACTATCAACCATTGATTGACTTGTTGGTCAAGTGGTCATCAGCTTCACTGCTGATCACGTGTTCCTGGGTTTGAATGCTTGATCTGGTCCAAATCAGTAATTATATTTTTGTGTCCAAGCCAGCCCAAGAAGTAGGCTATAGTCAGGTAATTGGTGGTGTTTCACCCCTGTGCTTTGGAAAGCAAAAAGCCTTTTGGTCTTACGTCTGATTTCTCTCCAGACAGACTACAGACTTTGAATACCAGCGTAAAACAGCAGCTTAACACTACTGTGTTTCATATGGTGAGTGTAGAGAACCGGAGACCCTTTTTACTGGAAAAGAGGCATTCCATCTTAATCCTCACGGGTGACAACACATCTGAATTTTGATTCGCAAACGAGGATAGATGTAAATGTCTATGAGCCACCGCAACCACACACCATCAGGTGGACTGTGTGCTCGTTTGTCACACTATCCTATAAAAAAAAGACGATTTGGATTGCTGTCTCATCGGACAATTAGAGTGAGGGAATAGAGATGCACCTGTTATTCCATCCTGCACAGATGGCTATTGAGGTTGGCCGTAGTGACCGAAATTCGTTTTGAAGCACATTATTATTAAGTAAAGTTATTATAAAAAGAAATATCAACTTACAGGTGCTCCACAAGTTCACTGTAGATCTGCCGAAGAAGCACGGTCGTGGTGGTCAGTCTGCGTTGCGTTTCGCCCGTCTCCGAATGGAAAAGCGTCACAACTACGTGCGCAAAGTTGCAGAGGTTGCTACACAATTGTTCATCAGTGCAGACCGTCCCAACGTATCAGGACTGATTTTAGCGGGTTCCGCTGACTTCAAGACTGAACTGTCCCAGTCCGATATGTTTGACCCAGTAAGTCTAATGCAAGTTTATCTTTACTTTATGGCTTTTCTTAATATACTTCTGCCAATGTCAAGTCAAAGAGTGACAATAAAGTAAATGAAAACTTGTCATGTATACTTAAATAATTGTTTTGTAAGAGCTTTCTAATCTACAACAAAAGACAAAACAAACATTTAATATCCTGCCACCAACAATGATTTATTATTAGTATAGATGAAATCACATGAAATATGAACAAATGAGGAAAACACAAGGGACAGTAAACTAATTGAATTAGTAAGATGAGGGACGTTTTGGGGAAAAATATCACACAGGGAGAACTGAAGTTGGAAGTTGGTTGGTGGAACCTTCATCAAGACCACACTCACATAAAGAATTATTCTTTATCCTTCATTAGGCTTTGTTTTAATTATGACACGTAAATTAATTAACACTACTTAGAAAGACGTCTACATACAGAAGACGTTAAAATTATTAAGGAAACTCATGATCAGCATCATCATTACAGCCCTTCACAAATCCACTGTTGAACATAGGCATCCCCCAAGGAATGCCGCAAAGCACTGTCCTGAGCCACATTAATCCATTAACTTCCTGCATGTCTTACCAGGTGGTCACTCCATCTAGTGGGGGGTCACCCTATACTTCGCCTACCAGAACGAGGCGAATGAAGGTCTACACAAGTTAATTAAAATAGATCTGAAAATTGCTGAACCAATCAAACGGCAGAATCCCCGAATGCAAGTTAATAAGAAGAGGTGTGGGTGTTATTTGTTCTACCCACTTTATCAACTTAGTCACCATTGTATTAAACCCCTTAGGTAATGCAACAAACCTCAGCAATTCTTAATAGGTTCTTATTTATTTATTCTTAATTGTACACCTTAATTAAAGGGATTATATGTAGCGGCACGAAAGTCTAGCGGTGACCGTTATTGCGCATAAGGTATCATGGGGTAGTAAGCGGGTCGTGGGGTGGGCGTGCGTCGTTCACACGCGCTAATTGGCTCTCCAGTCGCATTCGTGCAACAGCAGTACCCATGCGCAGCTATCCCCTCCACTTTTCCTTCAGCGCTAGACTTTCGTGCCGCGACTTATACAAAGGGTGGACTCATGCCTCGTGGTTCACCTACAATAGCAGACTATCGAATATCACACGTGTGTGTATGTTTCGTAATACTTGTATGAATATTGTGCACTCTCATTTACTCCGGTACAGGCCTTATAACAGTGCCGTGTTCTGGTCTGACGGGTATAGAGGCCAGTAAAATTATATTCTGTCAGGCATTCCATCTTAGGCAGAGATCTATAGATCGTACTTTGACTTAGCTCACACTTAGCTTACGAAAAACTTTGCTTAGTATATGCTTAGCATAATCTTAGATTCTGAATTTATAGCTGTATCGGGCTAAGATTAAGCTAAGCTTATGCTAAGCCCAGACAGTCCAAATATTAATTAATGGATGCTTCATTCCACGCATTATGTGTACAATTACTGTATAAAATTTAAAAATATGTATATTCAAAATCAAAATTACTGTATAAAATTAAAAAGAAATATATATATTTAAATCGAAAAATAGTCCAAATTGTATTTCATAAATTATTTATTATTACATGAAATAGAAAAGGGTCGTATGAGAACGGGAACAGATGAAATGAGTGCAAAATCAGAATAAAAGAAAAAATAAGATTTAAATTACGTAAATAGAAAATGGCCTAAAGCTATTTAACCGATTCGTTGCGGCACCAATTTTCGACAACTTTTAGTTGTGGCGGCGAACAAATATTTCATGACACGCCTGGCGTAACAGACAAGCCATGTGTAAAAGTAATGTTCTTTTTTATACTTTTTTTACTTGTTTAGACCTAATTAAGTTTATTTGACATCAAATATAAGTTACAAATGGAAGGATACTTGTTTTTAGTGGGTAACTACTTGCTTTTTTACGCGTTTTCTTTGAAATTGAGAGAAAGTGACTTTTTTTTTTAATAGGATAAGGGTGACAAACGAGCACACAGTCCACCTGATGGTAAGTGGTTGCTGCGGCCCATTGACATCTACATCTATCCTCTGTTACAAATCAAAATGTAGATGCGTTGTCACCCGCGAGGACTAATGGAATGCCTCATTTCCAGTATAAAGGGCCTCCGGCCACCTGCACTCACCAAGCGAAACGCAGAGGTAAACCTCTACTTCACGCTGGTTTTCTGTGAGGTCGTGGTACTACCCCGGTTCGAGCCGGTCCATCCGTGCGACAGCAAAAGCTGCCGCGTGGCTCTACCACGGTTAAACTTTTTTTATGAAGAGATTACAAACCTTTTGTACTATTTTTTGTTGTTATAAAAAAATCATTTATATAAGTAGGTACAGCTAAATCATCCTGGGAACCTTGGTTTTTATTAAATTAAATTTTCACCTAATAATAACATTTGTAAATATCAAACAATGAAGAACCTTAATTTGAAAAAAAAAAGTTATATCATTCATTGATATTTACAAATGTTAAATATTATTTAATGTTATACAAATGTAAAAGTAAAGTCGATCTGAAAATGTCGAATTAGTAAGAATAGCAAAACAAGTGTTTTCAAAAGGAAAAAAACGCCGGCGCTATACGGCGGCGGATTGACAAAAGACTATTTATTAGCAAACTTTTTTTATGCATGAACGGTTTCGAATTGTTTCAAGCAAAAATAAACCTTAATATCACAAGAGCACATGGTACTTCGTAGGTCTATTCGGCCATATGATAGTAATAATTTTTTAACGGTGGTAGAGCCAAGCAGCAGTTTTCGCTGTTGCAAGTATGGGCCGGCTCGAGCCGGGTTAGTACCACGACTGGTGAGTGCAGGTGGCCGGTGGCCCAATTCCCCCCCCCCCCCCTCGTCAACATGGTAGTGGAATTAAATAAAAGACTACGCCAGGAGGGTACCAGCACCCCTGGAGAATCCCTCGCTGAGCATCCACGACCAAACTACTTCACTCCTGAGCGTGGGTGCTCAGGCTGCCCCGCGTATTCTGGGAGGGGGCAAAATTCCGCTTAAAAACATAACTGCTCGGTGCAAACTGAGCAACAAGACCAAGGCGACCCCTGCCACGTTATCCGTGAATTTCTGCAACATCAGGGGACTTCACTCGAACCTAAACGCCGTCCACTACCATCTCGAGACGGTGAAGCCAGCCTTGCTCTTTCGACCGAGACGCAGGTTTCCTCTCCGGCTGATATTTCGTATCTTTCCTACCCGGGGTACAAATTGGAGCACTCCTTTGTGCCTCGGGCTGGAGTTTGCGTGTATGTCAGAGAGGACATCTGTTCTCGACGCCTCGGCAGTCTTGAAGGTTCGGACCTGTCCATCCTATGGCTACGCGTAGACAGCGACGACAATCCGCGCGTCTACGGGTGCCTCTATAGGTCCCATAGCGGTAATGCAGAAACAGACCGACTCATTGACCACGTCCAAATGGCTACAGATTCTTTGCTACAACAGGTCCCATCCGTAGAGATCGTGATCCTTGGCGATTTTAACGCCCACCACAACGAATAGCTCGGTTCACGTTTACCACATCATCTGTGGTACCCATCGGAGGCAGATCTCAGCCTTGGTTTGGTCGCTCCTGTAAGACTGCATTACGCAGTAAGCAGGAGTGTTATCAAGCCTGGGCTACGGCTTCGGCGACTCGGGATGTAAACACCAGCACATTTAAAAGAAGTATAACTTCGCCTCCAGGTCCTTCAAAAGAGTTATTGCCAAGGCAAAGTCAGAGCACATGGGCAGAATTGGCGAGAAACTAGTTCGCCTTCCTTCGGGAACCCGTGCATTCTGGTCTCTCGCCAAGGCTGTCCAAGGGAATTTCTGTAAGCCATCACTACCATCTCTGCACAGGGAGGACGACTCACTGGCCCAAGACGCAAAAGACAAAGCCGACCTTTTAGGCTCCCTTTTTGCGTCCAACTCGACTCTTGATGACGGGGGGAAAACACCGCCGACCATCCCGCGGTGTGAGTGCTCCATGCCGAATGTGCTGTTCTCATAGCGCTCGGTTCGCAAAGCACTCCTCTCCCTGGATATCCAGAAGTCGAGTGGGCCTGACAGAATCACCCCAATTGTGCTGAGGACGTGTGCTCCGGAGTTGGCACCGGTCCTAACGCGTCTTTTCCGGTACTCCTACCCCCAAGGCGTATCTCCTCCATCACCTCCTTGTTCTCCAAAATAATGGAATCAATTATTAACTGCCAGCTCATGCGGTACCTTGAGGATCACCAGCTGATTAGTGACCGCCAGTACGGTTTTCGTCGGGGTCGATCAGCTGGTGATCTTCTGGTATACCTGACCCATAGATGGGCAGAGGCAGTAGAGTCAAAGGGGGAGGCGTTGGCCGTTAGTTTGGACATTGCGAAGGCCTTCGATCGGGTTTGGCACAAAGCGCTTCTTTCGAAGCTCCCTTCCTATGGGCTTCCCGAGAAATTGAGCGATTGGATCACCAGCTTCCTTGCAGATCGGAGCATTAAGGTCGTTGTAGACGGTGCATGCTCCGACTACAAGCCTATTAACGTTGGTGTTCCACAAGGCTGTGTGCTATCACCAACGCTGTTTGTTCTGCATATTGTGACGCCTCATAATTATTATTAATAAATAATAATTAAATTCATTATACAGACATTTAAAAATGTCATAGAAATTATAATTTAAACAATAAAATGCAAATAATAAGCATAGAGTTCAAAAATATCCATTTGGAATATTGAATATTATATATATTAGTAAACGCATAAAATGTCTCAAAAAATCTCTAAATTTATTAAAAACCTGCTTAAAATGTTCAAAATATATCAAAATCATATAAATACAAGGCGATTATATTGCAATAACAAAGATAAATAACATTTGTAATATAATAGAAAAAATGGATTAAAATTTTCTAAGTTGATGAAGGAGTTCGTGTAATAATTGGAAAATTTCTAAGTTAATGAACGTGTTCTTGTAATGTACCCTTATATTGGGGCGTTGTCGGAGACACATACCCAAGGTTGTACATATATATGGGGTGGTCGGCTGACCGACTGCTAGTACTAAGGTTGCACAATGACTAGTCCTATATTAGGGACTTAACATAGTAAGGTCTGACGAACCAAAGCATTAATATAGAAGGTCTCTATGATGCATAAGCATTATGATAGCAGAGTTATGACTTGAAGTCCCATATGAATAAGACATACAGTAGTATGGTCTATGAAATAAAGCAAATATGTGGAAGGTCTCAAATATGTAAAAGCATTATATTGAAAGAAATGGGACTTGAAAAGGATTATTATAGTGGCGTGTAGGTTGCTTCGCAGCCTCTGAGACCGAGGTAAACTTGGACTCACTAACCGATGTGTCCTAGACATATCATCTTAGTGCCGGTGGTAAGCGGGTTTGTTGTAGCAATACGACTTGCCCGTGGACATCGCACACCCCTACCGGTTGTGGGCGGCGTCTTAGCGCATAGCGTTATGATACGTCGGCTATCTTTCGGATTAGGGTGAGTGTGTTTGGTAGTACTTTTAAGTGCAGCAAGCATACTCAACTTCATGTCTTAGTGCAATAGCGCTATGATACGTGGAGTATTGGCTACTGACGTCTTAGTACCGTGCTACTATGATACGTTGGTGGTATTTTTAGTTAACAACATTATCAAATTTTGTTACCAAAGTCGATAGGGATCATGTGGGTGTGTTGTGAGGGGGCGCCATCCGTATGATAGTTGCATTGATGCTTACTGCTACTTGCAGTATTGTGTCTTGTGATGGATCTGCGGGTGTGCTGCACCTGATTCGATGCATCTTGTGGTTCTGGTCGATGGAGGTATGCGGGTGGTGATGTCTGCTGGGACTGTATGGGGGACCTTGGGATGGTGTAAGCCCGACGATAGTCGTATTGATGCTTGTTGCATTCTGTAGCATTGCGTCTCTACGATGGTTGTTTGGCGGGTCGCTATTCTCAATGGCGCTCTCTGCGTCTTGGTTTGACTCACAACCTAAGTAGCTTTGCCCAAGTCGGGTCCCTTCATTGCGGGGCTGCAGACTGTCTGCCCTCCATGATGTTTTATATAACAACTTAATAATATATCTCTATAAAGTTCCCACCTTTGAGAGATTGAAGGCAACTTGTTGGTGGGTGAGACAAACATGATCGAAAAATGCATATACTCAACGTCAGTGACACAAACCCTTTCTGATGGCGAATTATTAATATTATCTTATAACTGCCTATTGGCTATATCTGCCATTGTATTGGTTGGTGGAGCATATGTGTTGACCTCATGCGGGTGGTAGCTGGAGGGAGAATCTGAGGAGGCTCTCAAGGCTGCGGCCGAAAGCCGCGCAACGTGGGACCCCATTCCCTTGAGGTGAGCGGTAGACTCATGACACGCTCTGCGGCCAATTGGCCGTGCTGACCATGCAATTGGTGGTGATGCCTTACACTTACATCACGTCTGCAGGAACGGCGGTCTGGCAGGTGGTGGCGCTCACGGAAGGCTTTTTATGGCCAGTGTGCCGATTGTTGCCTAACCCGTGTGACGTACATTTCACTGTGGCTGGATTTGATCGTATTCTGTATGGCGTTTACACGCATTGACATGCGCGACTTCGGTCGATGTTTGTGCTTACGCACTATCAAGGGGCCAAGTCCTCTTTTACTGGTTCGCCAGTTATTTTGCTGTGGACTACGGTCCAGTTCCCAACTTTGCGTACCCTTCGGGGGGAGCGCATTAAAATGGTTGGCGCTCACCGTGCGCGGCGTGTGTGGGGCCGTGTACCTCCTCCACATTTTTTTTTAAAATGTGGGAGAGCGAAGCCCTTGTAACTGGTATTTGATATAAATATTGTGAGCCTTTTCCAAGCGGGAAGGGATTAATTAATAAGGAATTGACTGTTGTGAACCAGATACAAGTGGAATAGGGACAATTTATTGTTCTTAACCTTTTTGAGCTCTGTCTTCGTGAACGGGGTTCTCTAGCTTATAAGACTCTACCAACAGCTTTCGATTGCTCTCGTGAATATTCATTCTTCCAAGATACACCTAAAAGAACTAAGTTACTATACAAACACAACGTAAAAAAGGGTCCTAACTAAGACGATCACGCCATAAATTTATTAAACGTCCTATATTTAAACCTTTAGAAAGATCAAGTTATACTGGTCACGTAAATTAGATATATTTATATATCTTACAGATATAGATTCTAAAGAAATACAAGTATAAGTGGATATATAGTAGAAGAGAAAAAAAGATGGGGGGGGGGGGTTCGTTACAATATCAATGATATGTTGCTAACTGATAATATTCATTGCTATGCGGATGACAGCACTGGTGATGCTCTATACACCGGCCGTGCAAATATTTCTCGGGAAAACGTCGCCGAGTACCGGAACAAATTTGTGTCTGAAGTCGAGTCTTTGCTGAACAAAGTCTCAGATTGGGGGCGACTAAATCTAGTCCAGTTTAATCCTCAGAAGACACAAGTTTGCGCGTTTACCGCTAAAAAGTACCCCTTTGTCGTATCTCCTCAGTTTCAAGGCACTTCCCTTCTTGCCTCAGCCAGTATCGGAATCCTCGGAGTCGACATATCAGTTCATAGCAGTTTCGTGGTCACTTGGAAGAGAAGGCCAAATTGGCCTCTAAAAAGCTTGGCGTGCTCAGCAGAGAGGGACAGTATTTCATGCCGGCACACCGCCTGCAACTTTACAAGGCGCAGGTTCGGCCTCACATGGAATACTGTTCCCATCTCTGGGCAGGGGCTCCCCAGTACCAGCTCCTTCCACTTGACTGCATCCAGCGCAGAGCGGCTCGAATCGTCGACGACCGAGTCCTTTCCGGTCGGCTCGATTCATTGGCACTGCGAAGAGATGTTGCATCCCTTTGCATTTTCTTTTGCATCTACCACGGGGAGTGCTCTGAGGAATTGTTCGGATTAATCCCAGCCGCCAAATTTCACGAACGCACATCGCGGCAGAACTCCCTATACCATCCACACCATCTGGATGATTGGCGGTCCACCACTGTGCGATTTAGAAGATGTTTTCTTTCTCGCACAACTTCCTTGTGGAATCGATTACCATCAGCGATTTTTCCGGACCGATACGACTTAGGGACCTTCAAGAAAAGAGCGTACTCCTTTTTAAAAGGCCGGCAACGCATCTGCGACTCCCTCCCTGGTGTTGCAGCTGTTCATGGGCGGCGGTAGTCACTTACCATCAGGTGAGACGCATGCTCGTTTGCCCCTTCCTATAAAAAAATTAAAACGGCAGTTCAACCATTTTAAGCATATTAAACAATAAGACAAACACATTGTTTTTCTTAACAGGAGAATTGTTTTCCAGAAATTTATTTACAACTTGTGTTTGTGAGCGATCGCAATGAGTGCTATTATTTGTTACTTATTAGACAATTTTTCCATAACATGATTTAAAACCCACAAAGTAAAAATAGTACTATGTACACGTTAAAAAAAGGTTGTCAACCCTTAAAAATTTCAAATTTTCAAAATATCCAGAAACGAAGCTGCATGCATGAACTACTCGCAAAATAATGAATATTTTGTTCTGGATAAATTTTCCAAAAAAGCAATTTGATCGAGTTATAACAATTTTTAAAAAGACTCGACTCGCGTGTCATACGCCACACACAAAAGTAATCGATGGCACGCCTGGCGTGTCACCCGCATTGAACCGGTTAAAACTAGAAGACGGCCTAAAACTACCTATTTATTATTATAATTAATTAGAGTAACATAAAAACAACAATTTAAAAATGGTGGTTTTGAATAATATACTGAGTTTTAGGTAAGTTGTCGATATCGTTGACTTAGGCTTTGCTAAGCGCGCACTCAGCATGACTTCGAAGTTAGCTCTATAAATACTGACATTGTCTTAGCTTGAAAGTAAAGTCTGAGCAAAGTCAAAGTACGGTCAATAGATCTCAGCCTTAGACTTTAGATGTGACAACGCATCTGTGGCCTTCTTTGTTTAAAGTTGGCCGCAAGGGTCCATAGACTTCAGTAGCCACTTGCCATCAGGGTTTTCAGTTTGTTTTTAGGGTTTCGTACCCAAAGGGTAACCAACGGGACCATATTATTTAGCCTCTGCTCTCTGTTCGTCCGTCCGTTCGGCTGTATCTCATGATCCGTAATAGATAGACAGTTGAAATTTTCACAAAATGTGTATTTCTGTTGCCGATATAACAACGAGTAATAAAAATTATAATAAATTAAAGATTAAAGGGGGCTCCCCTACTAGAAACTTGTGTTACGATGGTACGGCTACAGAACCCTTTATGCGCGTGCCAGACTCGCACATGGCTAGTTATCTACTTGTATAAAAAAAATTTATTCTCTTAATCTATATTCAATATCTCATATTTCAGCGTCTCCAATCCAAAATCATCAAGCTGGTGGATGTGTCATACGGAGGAGAGAATGGTTTTAACCAGGCCATCGAGCTCGCGGCGGAATTGTTGCAGAACGTCAAGTTTATTCAGGAGAAGAAACTGATTGGGCGCTACTTTGAAGAGATCTCACAGGTGAGTCCTCTTTTACAACAATTTTTATTAATTTGTTTTTATCTCTGTTTGTCTGTTTATAACAAATTTTGCAATCGATTTTAAACTCTCTGGTCAGATACAGAAGTGAAAGTTTAGACATAGCCGGGTACTGGATGACAAAGCAAAATTTGCTTACTTTCTTGTCCATTTTTTTTAAAAATTTTAAACTAACTATCCACAGGCTAGAGACTTGAAACTTATCTCAGAACTGGATAAAAATGCAAAATAAACTTATCTGGTTATTTGTTTCAATTTCAAACTAATATCCCAATAAGCTAGAGACTGAAAATTTAAACAACGCTCGGAACTGGATGATAATGCAAAACTTACTTATATTCTTGTCTGTATCTTTGTTTTGATTTTAAACTAACTTCCTGATGACCGGACTTAAAATTTTAATGTTGCTTAGTTGGAACTCATTAATTATGTTGCCCTTTATGTTTTTTCTGCATACTGAAATCGCAATTTAATCTGTTTATCATGGCGATTGTGGAAAATTTACTCTATCAAATAGAACCATATCCCAGCACTGCAGATAGATCACAAGGTCGCTTTCATCAAAGCTTAATGTGATCATTATGATTTTAATTGCATACACGCAGGACACGGGCAAGTACTGCTTTGGAGTGGACGATACACTGCGCGCCCTTGAACTTGGCTCTGTGGAGACGCTCATCTGCTGGGAGAACCTTGACATACAGAGGTGAGGAATGTTATGTGTGCAATATTACCACAATCTGGATAATAGCTGGCCTGGTAGACGTTGTTCTGTTCTTTTCGATAGGTGGCGCTTTGAATTTTATTTCGAATTCATTTTGGGCGTTTACATATTAATAATTCAACCATAGTGTCACCCGACATATACTGTGTATATGAGTTATTCTACTCTATAAATATAGAATTTTTTAATAAGTTTATTACAGTGCCACCTTTCAGATCCTAGCATAGTTATCAACCATCATCTCCACAAAACAAAAATATTGTATGAATATGACTGATGGAGGTCAAGTCGTTCAGAATTTACATGATCACTAAAAGATGCACCTACAATTATATAAATAAAGATTAAATACTGTGAAGTGGCAGTCTATTTGTGAAAAGTCTCTTTGTATACGTCATACGTGGTAGATCCATGGTACAGCTATATTAATAGTATAGTTGTAGCACAAATAAGTCGACTTGACCGGGGAAGGACCACGCTCTCACAGAATACCAGTGTAAAATAGCAGCTTAACACTGCTGTATTTTGTATGGTGAGTAAAGAGAACCGGAGACTCTTTTTACTGGAAATAAGGCATTCCATCTTAGTCTTCACGGCTGACAATGCATCTGCATTTTATTCGCAAATGAGGATAGATGTAGATGTCTAAATCCTAAAACTAGAAAACGTAACACTTATTTTGGGTAACAACCAAAGCCTTGGAGAAGCCATTTTGTCCCAAGACCAATGAAATAAAGAAATATTTTAAATATATGTATAATAATGGAAAAATAACAGTGTAATGATGAATTTAGGATGAATACTTAGTCCCTGTGCTACCACCATTCTTTCACGAACCAAGCGGGTTCACAACCGCATTTTTTTAATTTTAGTTGGTATTAGGAAGGTGCTGCTGCCCATTTCCTGATTTGTTTCACTCTGTCGCCTCTTAGGACGCCCACGGGACGATACGGTGTAGTGTATATTCTTAGAATAAGGATGACAAGCGAGCACACAGTCCACCTGTTCGTAAATGGTTGCAGTAGCCCATAGACATCTACATCTATCCTCGCTTGCGAATCAAAATGCAGATAGATGTGAAGTAAGAAAGATAGTTTACGTGGTAGAGCCGTGTAGCAGCTATATTGATAGTTAATTGTATAGTTGTAGCACGAATGGGTCGGCTCAACCGTAAAATAGCTACTCAATTCTGTGTTTCTTATGGTGAGTGTAGAGAACCGGAGACCCTTTTTACTTCTACATTCAATCTTAGTAATCACGAGAGACAACGCATCTGCATTTAGATTCGTAATCGAGGATAGATGTAGATGTCTATGGGTCACAGCAACCACTTACCATCAGGTGGACTGTGTGCTCGCTGGTCACCCTTATCCTATAAAAAAATAAGGAGTTAAAGTTTCATCACTTTCCACGTGCACAGGAATGTATTTAAACGTGAAATAAAATAAAATTAGTTTTGAATTTTTTTATTATTTCCCGTTCTGGTAACCCTAGCAATTTATTGTTCATGTTGGCTTTTTCGACAACATCAATGGCGAATCACGCCTTTTTTCAATTTTTTTGTTCTTTATTAATGTTGTAGAGAGTTAAACCATCTGAAATTGAATGAATCACTTTTCTCATAACTGCAAAGCTAGCTTTCTGTTTTCACTCCAAGGTATGCAAATATTTTATAAACGATGTATATGATATTTCAGATACGTTCTGAAGTCGCATGCCGCCAACCAGGAGACCATTTTGCACTTGACACCTGAACAAGAGAAGGACAAGTCCCACTTCACCGATAAAGACGTAAGGCTCGGAGCTTCCATGATTAGTCACGTTTTTATTTGTTGCTTTTAAGGATCTTGTAGCTGCGAATAGATTCATTCGCCGCGAGTTGAATTGAACATGTTTAATTTTAATATGCGAACGTGCACTCGCCGTGAGAATTCGCCGTTTGTGACTGGTACTCGAAGTGAGTAGCCATTCCGCTCAGCGCGCTTCTCTTAGACTACAGGTCGTTTCGGCACTGCATAGTGTATAGATACGTGTATGTACGATATACGAGTCAAGCGAATAATTTTTATTAAGATTTACTAAAGTGAGGAAGCTACGCTATAATTGGCTTCTTGGGTGTGTATAGAATCGAGGATGCACATGCCAACCGAATACACTGTTTTAGACGTGAGCGACGAATAGATGACATATTTGTATTTGGGGCACCAATAGACTGTCGAAATTCTCGTGTAGAATTCGCTGTGTGTGACAACTGCGGCAGGAAGCGAATATTCGCTGTGTGACCGAGGCTAAACCCAGCTTAGTAGTGCGCGACGCGACTACAAATGCTTTCGTTAGAATCTTTTGACACATTAAAATGATTAAGGGTATGTTCCGAAATACACTTGTGACCTGACCACTTTAAGGTGTGACGTCAATTCAGTATACTGTGAGGCCGTTTCTTTTTAGTTTGCTATACTGGTTACTGTTTAAAACGGAACGCAGTCGAGTATACTGTCATCCCTATTTTTCTACACTATTCTCAAATGAAAATATTTAACATGTACACGTTATCTATTCAACAAGAAAAAATATTATTTGAATATTGTTGCCTTTAAAACTTAATGTCCGAGTTTATTCGAATAACAATATTATTCGAATAAACTCGGACTCTACACTATTCTCAAACTATTACACTATTCTCAAATGAAAATATTTATCATGTACACGTTATCTATTCAACAAGAAAAAATATCATTTGAATGTTGTTGCCTTTAAAACTTAATGTCCGAGTTTATTCGAATAACAATATTAATTAATTAATAATAACAATCCTTCGTGTAGGCTGTTAAATCTATAGGCGCTGTTATGTTTTTTGATCATGTGTTCAAAGTACTGAAAGCACCTTACCTCGAATTATGACGTAATAAATTTCCCTAGGGTACTGCGGCAGTATACTGGCAATCCATAACGGAGCGAATTTTTCACCAGTGAGAACAATAAACAGTCTTCGCAGTGTATATCGGAACACGATCCAAAAAGGGAACGGATTCACAGTATACTGAATTGCCGTCACACCTTACAGTGGTCACAGTGTATATTGGAACGTACCCTTAATCACATTACTATAACACAGACAATTATAAGTACAAGTGTAGTTTGTTCGTCTGTGGTCGACTCATACCTACTGCCCTACTGTTTGTTAGCTGCACTGGCAGACTCATAAAAGTTTGAGTAGGGATGGCCAAGGGAAAAATTATTTTGATATCATATCGCGTAATAAATTTGCGTGATGTAAGGATAAAGCCCAAAATTTAATATAACTGACAGTTGGACGACGAAAAAAAACTAAAACCACACACATGAATGCTTTATACAATAACTATACAAATAAATAAAATTGAAGTGTCTGTTTGTAATGTTAAAATTACAGCTTTTTACTAAATGCATATGAAAGTATATACGGTACTAACAACAATAATAACAAAAATACCATTTTTAAAGTTTTTGTCTCTGTCTGTCTGTCTGTTTGTTCCGGCTAATCTCCGAAACGGCTGGATCGATTTTGACAGGATTTTCACTGGCAGATAGCTGATATCACTATTTAAGAAAAAGAATTAGGGTTCCGCACAAAAAAAATTAAAACCCCAAATAACACGCAGGCGAAGTCGCGGCGAACAGCTAGTTTTAGAATATATCGAAATGGATACGAGTACGATACTCTAAAATAAATATCGATATATCGTGATTAAAAGTATCAACGATTTATATCGACATTTTTATGAGAAAATATCGATATATCGATATTTTTGTACAAGCCTAAGTTTGAGTTTGGCTAAAATCTAGTTCATTAGATCAGTCTAGGTTCTAGACATTTTTTTTAAACAGTACCACAGTTAGAAAATTAATGTTGAACTGATTTGATGTCTATGTGGTGAGACCACTTTTCTGCCTACAAGTCTGTCACGGTTGGTATCACACACTTATTTCTGTCGCCAGATATCGGTATACACTGTTGTGTTCCAGTCTGACGAGTGTAGAGTCCGTATAATATAGTTACTGGCTGTCAGGCATTGCGTCTCAGTCCTCAGAGTTGACTCTAGATCTGAAGACTTCTTCGTTCCAAGTTTGTTTGCATAAGATTAAGATTCCACTTGCCATCAGGTGGACTGTAGGTAGGTTTGTCACTTAATTTTTATAAAAAGAAGGCACTTGTTTCTTTTAAAAGTTGTATCTCTCCAGATTTCATGGGTTTTAATGTTTTTTACGCAGAGCCCTAATTATTTTTCTAAAATAAAACAATCCTAATTTACTCCTTATAACATCACCGATCTGAAAGTGAAAGTCCCCGTCAAAATCGTTACAGACGTTTCGGAGATTAGTCGGAACAAACAGACAGACAAAATTTTATAAATTGTTTTTTTTTTGTTATTAGTACGATGGATACTTTCACATATGCGTTTAGTAAAGAGCTGTTATTTTAACATTACAAACAGACACTTCAATTTTATTTATTTGTATAGAGTATAGATATAGATTTCTTACAAATGTTGGTTTGTTTTTATAGAGCGGTGTTGAGCTTGAGTTGGTGGAGTGTCAGCCGTTGCTTGAGTGGCTCGCCAACAACTACAAGTCCTTCGGAGCCACACTTGAAATCATCACAGACAAGAGTCAGGAGGGCAGTCAGTTTGTGAGAGGATTTGGAGGTATTGGAGGTCAGTGTGCATTTGTATTACTTGTATTGTTACACACACGGTATGATAGCTCAGCGCCGAATGACTAAGACATCGAGGACTTAAAGTGAAGCTCTTGGTTTAGTGACCACAAAGTTTGAGAAACTACATTTCAGAGGAAATTAGTTCTTGAAGCCATTGTTTTTTTTTTTGTGTAATTCTGATTTAACTACATGATCAAGTTGCTCTTTAAAAGAGGGGGGCAGTTTTATTGTAGAATAAGTGAAGATAAACAGTTTTATAAATGGAATTTTATAGCGGTTAAGTTGCAGTCCATACCAAACAAAGTTTAGTGTTGCTTAGCTTACAATCTCAATGCTACTTTTGAATATGAATATGATTAAAATAAATTAAAAAAAAAAACCTTTAAGCTACCAGAGTGTCTGTGTCTGATATTATTATACGAATTTTTTTAAGAATATGTTAAGACTTCTAATTTTAAAAGAAAAGTGGCTCCATCGTTTAACCAATGATTCTCTGATAGATACAATAGATAATAAGAATAGATTTAAATATAATACAGGAAATAAACTGACTAACTGTATCAGTCGTGCTAGTAACAGAAATTGAACTCTACACATCTATCTACTCTATAATATTATGAACCGAATGTCCATCTGTCCATCGCTAATATAGCTATCTGATTTCTGTGACCCCATAGTGATAAATTTGTTCAAGCCGTGTAACACTCGAGCAAGCAGTTGTTATACCACACAAGTTTAAATATTATACTATTGGCTACTTTTTGTTTAGCGTCAATGTATTGTAAACAAAGGGTTTTGTGCCATTTTGGTAGAGGTGTTGGGAATAGTACTGTGTATTATATAATGTACGTAATTTGGATATTTATGTTAAATATAAATATTTGTAGCTGAGAGGTACAGGATCATAAATCTCAATCAATAGTTATCATCAAAAATTAAAATAGAGAGATTAACAAACAATAATAATATCCATTTGATCCCGGGAGTGTCATAATATGGAATGGAGTATGGGAAAAGCAAGAAAAATCTCATGACTTCTGATATATGGTTTGTTTATCTTGATTTCGCCTGACATTACATACCCAGGCAACTTACTGAGCATGACGGTGAAGGCAAACTCTCTCCACAACGGGAGAGATCCTTAAGAATAACATTCAATTTTCTTCAGTCCACACACCATTTCTGAAACTGATGACCCATAAAGGTTGACTCACGGGGGTTTCAAATGAAACTCTATTCCATTACAGCCTATCGTAGGCTGAACATAGGCCTCCCCCATAGATTGCCATAGTATCTACTCTTGGCAAGCTAGTTGGCAACTGTAGTTGTTTAATTTTTAAAAGACGCTGCTGCCCGTCTCCTGATTTGTTCCCCTCTGTCGCCTGTTACGAAACCCACAGGACCATATGAGGCAGTTGATATTCTTACACCTCCACTTCACGGTAATTCCATTACAGCCTATCATAGTCCACGGTTGATCACAGGCCCCCCTCTAGGTCTCATAGGAGCTATATTATCTGTAGTTGCAACGCTTGGCAAGTGCGTTGGCAACTGCAGTTTATTTTTCATTATTTTGAGATGATATCAGGAAGATGCTGCTGTCCATATCCTGTTTCAATTGACCTCTGTCCCATCTTACGAGACTTACGAAAAACCAACGAAATAGCTCTTTGCTGAATTATGAAATCGACCATTGCAAGTGTTACATTTAAACTTTATTTATCAGACCGTAGTCAACCGCTGGATGTGGACTTGTCCTTTATAAGGAAAGATTTGCTATAATAATATTCACATTGGTGATTGAAATATTAGAATGTCTCGCACCTCTGCCAGTTTGAGTATTTACATGTGCAATACGTGTTGCTAGAGGTGGTAGCACTTGTTGTCTGTCTTGGATTCTGAGGAGAGTAGGAGAAGGTAAGGAGAGCCAGTATAGTAACAGGCTGTAGGTTTTCCATTTTAGTTCTCAAAGGTAACAATGTATCTGCGGCCTTCTTTATTTCAAGTTGGCTGCGGATGTTCATGGGATGCAATAGCCACTTTTTTAATAGGATAAGGGTCACAATCGAGCACACAGTCCACCTGATGGTAAGTGGTTGCTGTGTCCCACAGACATCTACACCTATCCTCGATTACGAATTAAAGATGCGTTACCACCCCTGAGGACTAAGCACGAATGCCTCGTTTCCAGTAAAAAGAGTCTCCGGTTCTCTAAACTTACCATACGAGACACGCTAATTCGCTAATTTACGCTGGTAATTTGTGAGAGCGCAGTCTTTCCCCAGTCGAGCTGACCCATTCGTGCTACGACTATACTACTGTATACTGTACACCTACCAACTGCTCAACTGTAAGTTCGTTTGTCTCATCAGTTTTATTAAAAAAAAAATACGAGACTACAAATAACTTTCCATAGTCTCCTGTCGCGACACCCACGGGAAAAGACCGTGATGAATTCACGGCGGCCTAAGACACATTCAGAGTTTGGCTTCTTTTGCATACTCCTATTTGGTATTTGCTATGTAATTGTAAAATCTGTTTAACTGTGACTTATGATACTTTCCCTCTCGGCTGCATTCGTATGATATTTTATGTACGCTTTCGCCCTTATGACGGAACCCATAACTAATCCACATAACTAACATTTCTCTTCTGTTTCACTGCTGCTCGGATAACGCCGCCGGATATGACGGTATTCGTATTCATAAACTTTACTAAATTAATAAACAGGCATACTCCGCTACAAAGTGGACTTTCAATCTCTCCAATCCGACGAACCGCTGGACGACGTGGACCTCGATGACTATTAAAAACAAAAACAACGCATTTCAGCATTCAAAAAAAACGAAATATAGAAAAACCGACATTAACACAACATAAATAACGTTTAGTTTTAAGTGAACGCTTGCATGGTACATTTTAGTAGGTAACTTTCACTGGGATAGATAAACGGGTGGTTCGAACGCGGCGAACTTTTTTTTGTAATATAAGTTTTCAAAAAGTACGTAGTCGGTGTGTTTCTAATGTTATTCATTTGAGAGTTTGGTTTCGGGCAGTGAGTACAAATCCCGCTATATAAAATATTATTTCTGGAATTGGGTTCTGGGTCTGCGTGTAATTCATGTTTGTAAAGGTCTCTGCAATACAGGATCAAATTAAAAACAAAGAAAGTTTTAAAGAGTCGGGATGATTTTACCATTTTTTATTATTTAAATAATAATAAAATTAATTTAGAACAGTAAACCAACCAAGTTTTAAATCATTACGAAAAGTGGCAAATATAAATTATGCAATGTATTTATTAATTCTATTACCAAATTTAGGCGATTTAAACTCGTTTAGTTATTATTTTAAATCAAAAAGTCAAAAGTCATTTCACATCACATACATATCAATTATTTTAATGTTGTGAAATAATTCTAACATTTCGCTGGTTGCAAAAGATTTATCATATTAATCGATCGGATAAAAAACGCCGCGTTCGAACCGCTCGTTTATCACGCCATTAATATAATTTTTAAAGACGTTCCAATGAGGAGGACATCCGCAACTTTTTCTGCCGCCAGGGCGGCGCCACTTTGAAATGAGGTGAAATACTTGACAGATTTCATAGCGCGGAAGTTAATGTGTTCGAAAAATGTAAAGGTTAATGTTTCTTTTCATAATATTAGTTTTATATTTTGTATTAATCACATTAGAAATAAACAAACCAAGCTATTAAAAACTGAGTTATAAACGTGCAAAAAATTAAAGAGCAAACCACTGGGACATTGTTTTGTGTATTAATATAATACTCTAGAAAGTGATAAACTTTAATTTAAAACTAAATTCTCAGTTAAATGACATTGTGTAACATTAAACTTCACCTCAGTCGCAACTAGCGACATCTGGCGAGCAGGAGATTGTTAGCCCTCATTGACATTTCCGCATCGAAATCTTAACTACAGGGTTCGCTAGGTTGACTTCCTACAGTCGTTAATGCTTCATATAATCTATCAAAACTATCACAATTACTCAAATCGACTTTATGTGACTCTTCGTTTAGATATGCTATTCTCATTCAGTTTTATAAATTTCTATTGGCGTTAACGCTTGTAGAAGATCAACTTTTGTTAATTTTCTATTTACGTTTATTTAAACTATGCCGTCGATTCTTTGCTTTCTTCCGCAATCACGCCTTACACACTTTATTGTCGTTTGCACCGAACAATGGCTTCAGCAATAGTAATCCTTATGAAATAGAGATTTAACTTAGGTACCTGTTGCATTCAAGTCGAGAAGTCATTGATGTCGTATTTAACTGATAACGTGTTTTAACAAGTAGTATGTAATTAGTGTCAGGTATTAACTAGTCACTGCGTCAATAGAGTAGTCCCACGGAAATATGCGAACTGAAATACTGTGACGCCGCGGCTGACCGCGCAAGACTACTGTCGTGAGAAATACTAATAGAGAGAAATATACGGCTTTATTCGTCGTCGGCGTCCATTAATTACGTCAGGTGTTGGAGACTGACGTATTTACACTAAAAATACGCATTTAAAAAATCTAAAGTAAGGTTTTGGGGAGTTGATGGTGAGGGGTCCAGAAATGTCTCATGACATCTCACCAGGAGGAGAGGGAGGGTAGACAAATCGCGAAAATCGCCTCACGAAATTAATGGACGTTTACTGGGCCTAAGCAAATTAAATAGCGTAGCACCAGCATTATAAAGGATTTATAATGCTGGTGTGAACTGTGCTATACTTACAGGCTGCAGTGTTTTAATGATATAAAATGTATTTCATATATGAATCCCATATATTGTGTATCTTCTCTCCACATATAATATGTATATGGAAATATTTGTCATGACGGGTTTATAATACCTTTGGTCAACTGTTCGTGTGTGGGCCGTGCTTATTAATTCTTTAGGATATTAAATAAACATTTTATGAATTGAATCATAATCTATTTGTAAGTAGCTCGTCTCTTTTCTTGAATGAAACTAATTTTACGGAACGAGAGTTGGGGTGGGAATTAGCCCGGGTTAAACTGTGACATCAGAACATTAAACTCTTCTGCCCCTTACTCTCCTGTGTACATGTAAAGTACTATGTGATTCAAATAACAATAGGACTGACCTTTGCAATAAATGTTTCTTTCTTTCTGAATTGGCGCCATATTTGTGACGTCATAGCTGTCAATTCAAATCTGGTAGGGTGAGCAAAACAGATGTTTTAAAATTATATTTATTTACAAAAGAACCACGAATGGGAAATCTGAATCTAGCGTTTCAATTTCGGCCATCTCTGCATCGCTGTCTGAGTCGTCATCATTGTAATCATTATCAGCACTACTGTTTTCATTCGAGGTCATTGACGTTGCTATTCTTATTTGAATACCATTGTACTCAAAATGTCTAGAATCGCGATCGATTCCGTGAAATCAGTTTGAATCAGTGTTTATAATAATAATAATAATATTTTATTCAGACTCAGTCCATAGAGATGTTAGTATAACAATAATATTAATAATAATAATAAAAAATTAAAAAAATAAGACTAGTGTTAGTATATGACTTCTTTTTCTTTATATTCTTAACTTAACCAATTAACCATCCCGCGTACATTACATATATCTTACTTATTTAGTTTTACATGTAGACTTAACCAATGCCTCATAATGGCTGAGTCCCACCTATCAGCAAGTGTGATTAGGATGCTGTTGGTAGAGTTACGCAGTTTAGTATTCGCGAAATATGTTAGGAATCGTTCGTCTCAAACTAACCACCATTAAAATTTGACGAACGAAACATAAAACTAGCTGCCATAATAAGATCATTGCATGTATAAAATGTCATATAAGCTATTTAGTACAAATTTTTTTTTGGTATGGAGATAAATAATATTACAGAAGAATCTCGTTAATCCGTCATTGATAAAGGTGAA